TATTATCACTACCTTGACTGTAAGTAAAAATACAAATTTTCAATCGGTAGTCTGTCTTGTTCACTCTCAGATTAGGTTGGAGCATAAATGGCAATTTGGAATAGACTATCCTAAACATGAAAATTTGCTCGAAGACTTTCTTTAAAGATAGGTGCTCAGAACTAACAGGAGTTAACATTAAATTTCAACTAGTGGGTTTGTTTAGTTTTTTAGAGATATTAAATATATTATATTTATTGAAGGGGGGGAAGGTTAGGAAAGTATGAGAAAGAGGAGAGACAAAGGGGAGTAGGAGACAGACAAATAGGCAGAAGAAGACAGGCAGTGGTGGAGTGGGGCAGGGCAGAGAAACAGAAGGGTAGTCACGGCAGAGATAATGATATGGAGAGATGGGAGGAGTATTCTAGTTTTCTCAGTAGTGCATCATACAATCAGAAAGTCATATTTGCACGCCTGCATACCTTTTTATTTCGGTTTATATGTATTAGCAATTTTGGTTAGAATTGAATTTTAATCGTGATGATTAGACATAGATCAATTGTGAGTAAAATGTATATACAGATTTAACTGTAGTTACCATTCAATATAAAGTAAAGACTCTGCCAGTGATGCAGGAGACCTGGGTTCAACCCCTGGGCTGGCAAGATCCTCTGGAGAAGGGAATGGCTACCCACTCCAGTATTCCTTCCTGGAGAATTCCATGGACAGAGGAGCCTGGTGGCCTACAGTCCATAGGGTTGTAAAGAGTTGGACATGACTGAATGACTAACACTTTCAACATTCAATAAATCATTCACATTGTGTCACTTCCCTTCTCCAGGGGGGGATCTTCCTGACCCAGGGACCGAACCCAGGTCTCTTGCATTGCAGGCAGATTCTTTACCATCTGAGTCACCAGGAGAGCCCAGTTTTAAAGGATTTGACTCAAATAACTAAAAATTAGTTACATATGGCTTCAACCAGTTGAAGGAACCCTGTTGGCATGACACTTGGTGGCAGCCCTCTATAATCTGTAATGGGTAAGATGTTTATTTAGGTTCCACAAATTTCCACCTGTTGGTTAACATGGTAGAAAAATGATTAAAATATCAAGTGATTATATTAGGGCTTTTTTGTTTTGTGTTCAGTATTAAGTAAATACTACAGTGTTCAAAACGCTTTGCTAGGTATGTATTGGTTTGATCACTAGTTTGGGGTAAATATCCGGGAGTGGAGTTGCTGCATCATAAGGTAAGCGCATAGTAGACACTCCAACTGTCAACTGAAAGAAAATAATGCAAGAAGCTGCAGATGAGGAAAGGGTTTATTTAGGGTCTTAACCAAATTGTATACAATCCCCTATGTCCCCATCTTTTGATGTAAACAACTTTTGCTTTAGTGTCTCGGGGCCTCCCCTGAGTCTCAAAAGCTGGTTCCAGAGTTAATAATTAGGAATGTAAACATGTGGAAACAGAGACTAGCTGCTGGGCTGGGGAACTGGTACCAAGTGGGACTAGAAATCAGCCACATCACAGAGTTACCAAACTCCCACTCCCTCAGAGATATAGATAAAGGTCTGACACACACTCCTAAACTGTCTTTACAGAAACCAGATCCCCAGCAGATGAAAACTGCTGACCAAAATCACGTAGACCTCAGTTCAGTTAAAACCAGAAGACTGACAATGCTAGAAATTTCACCTTGATGTCAACTAATCCTAGAATTGAGCACAAGCTGATTAGGCAGCCTGCAGCCTCCTCCCTCACACTGCCTTTGAAAACCCTCTCCTGAAAACCACTGTGTAGAGTTTGGGTCTTTTGAGCATGAGCTGCCCATTTTCCTTGCTTCAGTTCAGTTCAGTTCAGTCACTCAGTCATGTCCGACTCTGCGAGCCCATGAATCGCAGCATGCCAGTCTTCCCTGTCCATTACCAGCTCCCGGAGTTTACTCAGACTCATGTCCATCGAGTCGGTGATGCCATCCAGCCATCTCATCCTCTGTCATCCCCTTCTCCTCCTGCCCTCAATCCCTCCCAGCATCAGGGTCTTTTCCAATGAGTCAACTCTTCGCATGAGGTGGCCAAAGTACTGGAGTTTCAGCTTCAGCATCAGTCCTNTGACAATATACAGCCTTGACGTACTCCTTTTCCTATTTGGAACCAGTCTGTTGTTCCATGTCCAGTTCTAACTGTTGCTTCCTGACCTGCATACAGGTTTCTCAAGAGGCAGGTCAGGTGGTCTGTTATTCCCATCTCTTTCAGAATTTTCCACAGTTTATTGTGACCCACACAGTCAAAGGCTTTGGCACAGTAAATAAAGCAGAAATCGATGTTTTTCTGGAACTCTCTTGGTGCCCTACAGATAAACTATACTTTTCTTCACCACAACCCAGTGTCAGTAGGTTGGCTTTGCTGCACTTAAGATGAGTGGACCCAAGTCTGGGTTTGGCAACATTAAGAACTGCAGTTTGGGAGACACAGAATCTGATAACCTGAAGGAGGGCAACCAGTGCAGTCACTATAGTCAGTAATGAAAATGACGATTGATCTCTGCTCTGGAAGCTTCATGGTTACTTTCTGGATAACAATGAAGAAACATAGGGAGTAAAAATGTATCACTTTTGCTGACAAGGATGGGTTCCTGTTTGAAATGTGATTTGCTGGAAGAGATGGCGCAGATCCCCATAGACTGACAGGATTTGAGAGAAGGTCACAGTAACCAGTAGCCGGCACGCTGAAACGATTGAAAGATATTTGCTGCCCAAGGACTGGGAGGTAGGATCGAAACAAACAGTCCAAATGGTGCTTTTGGTTTTACTCTCTCTTCCACACAAGGGAGGGCTTCCCAGGCGGCTCGGTGGTAAAGAGCCCGCCTGCCAATGCAGGAGACGCAGGGTTGATCCCTGAGTCAGGAAGATCCTCTGGAGATGGCCGGCCACTCCAGTATTCTTGTCTGAAAAATCCCATGGAGGGAGGAACCTGGCAGGCTACAATCCACGGGGTTGCAAAGTCAGACGTGACTTAGCAACAATAACTGGCTGCCTTAAGGTTTAGGGGTGGTGCTCGGGGCTTCTTGTCACCAGAGGATGGGGGTAGCTCTACACATGCATCCCTTTATGCCAGGAAACGCAGGATGGGATGGATTCAAATAATAATCTTTTGGACACAGGCATCTGTGTGCCTAGTTCTAGGACAGGAAAGGGTGTGGGACTCAGAGATGGATGATAAAAAGTACCAAGAATGTAACATGTGGAGCCATGGTTCTAGGTGAAAGGACAGGAAGAAACAGTCCGGCCACAGTCCAGGGATGGGAAGTGACCAAGTGGGGAGTCTGAGAAAAAAAGAAGGGAAGAACCTCTCCACTTATCCTCCCCACCTTCCCAGTCACTGCAAACTCCTCCAGCAGGGAGATCATAGCTTCCTGGTGTCTGTGATGTAACCTTTGAAATGCTATGTTAACTCATACAGCTCTGAACAAAAATTTAAGAGGAGAAAAACAAATTTAATACAAAGGCTATATTTTATTTTTATATACACATGGGCACCTTCCCAGGAAAATGAAGACCCAAAGAAGCAATTAGAGCTGGATGCTTATGTCTTGGGTTGGACAAAGGATAGTAAACTGTGAGGACGGAACAAGGCAAAGGGGTCTGGACTAGCGCAGTGATTTGTGGAAATGTGACTAGGAAGATGAGGGTTAGTTTAACAAGCTCATTTGTACAGATTTCTCGCAACCTTAACTTCCCATCCCTGGTGATAAGAATGTCTTCTTTCCTGCTGATACAGAGAAGGTACCTTTCACCTGCGATTTTTATCTCCTCCTTTCCAGAAGAAAAAAGGAAGATCAAAGTGTCCTGCTTGATCTGCTGCTTTTAAAGAGACTTTAAGTCAAAATACTAACATTCCAATGAGGCGTGTTTTGGGATGACCTGGTCTGAACGGCTACATTTTGTTGCTGTTAAGTCTGAATGAGTAGTAGATAATGTGGGTGTTATATGAGATAATTCCCTACCTTCCAGGTGCTACAGGGGATGGATTAGTTCAATCAGGAAAATCTTAAAATAGAGGGATGTTAGTGGGACACATATTAGAAACAAAATGAGTCTATGACTAATGAGTTTTGCCATCATTTTTGTTGAAAAGGAGCCTCTGGAAGTTCTGGTGGTGGTGACACAAGAAGATAGTTTCAGATAATTAAGTAAAATCAAAGTTTTGCTTTATTTTTGTAACCTTGGTTATAAAAACATTCTTTCCCACAGTTGTTTAGAATTTAGATGTTCAACTGAAAGTACTCCCCCGTCATTCACAACTCTTAAGGCTGAAGAGACTTCAATTCTTAAAGTATTGTTTCCAGAGAAATTAATATGTCATGTTGAAAATTGTCCTTGTTTGTTTATTCTGAAAGATACATTTTATTTCTATTTGATTCATAGGATAAGATACTATAGACTTCCCTGGTGGTTCAGATGGTAAAGAATCTACCCTGCAGTGTGGGAGACCAGGGTTCGATCCCTGGGTCAGGAAGATCCCCTGGAAAAGGGAATGGCAGCCCACTCCAGTATTCTCGCTTGGAAAAATCCATGGATACGAGAGTGTGGTGGATATAGTTCATCGGGCTGAAGAGTCAGAAACCACTGAGCGACTAACACTTTCACTTTCTCCACTAATAAGTGGAGAAAGCTAAAGGATTAACAGCTAAAGGATTTCTGCAAAGAGTGAGTACATAGATATTTTAAATGAGCATTTGTTATTTTCTCACACCTTTTCAGTTTTTAAGATTGATTTTACTCAAAGTTGCATAATCCAACTGAAAAAGAATAGTATAGGATTGTAGAAAGTTTGAGAGGGGAAGGAAATTTCTAATCACAGATATAAAATGGAAAGGTTAGGAAATGTGTTCAAGTTTGCCTAAGTCCCAAGGACAACACTGGCTGTCGTGTGTTTCATATTGTCAAATCTAATCAGTGAATCAATGGACTTCACAGAGATGCTACAACCAATAAAATACTTAAGAAAAACTTACCTTTAAAGAAGCACAATTCTCCTCCTGCCAAACTGGAGAGTTTCTTAATAAGATACCCAAGGATGTGAGATATAGTCCATTTTGCTTCATAATTCTATGAAGAAACAAAGGTTTATTCACTATTTATATTTTCTCTTTTATGACTTGCTACAAAAATTATTCATACTTTAAGTTGCCACTTCTCCTTTCTGAAAACTCTCATTTAAACTACTGTATTGTTATATTCAAAGTAGTGTTACAATAATTATATTCTACCCTGTTAGATAATAAAGATAAAATTTACTCTCAATTTCGTTTGATTTTTTGCTTGGTTTTTGCTGTATAATTGTGTTCCTGTAACTCTACAGTATCAAGTTAGTTTTCTCTAACGCTAGACATTTTTGCATTTTACAACATTGCTATTGTGAGGAATGGCATTGGAGTATTAGGGATGACTAGTTCTGTTTTTCAACAGTGAAATTCCTACACAACAATGGAAGTGGAAATTCAAGCAAATGTAGTTCACGTGGATTTTTGTGATTATTTTATCAATTCCCTCAAAAAAATAGATCTATACTAAATGTTGACTAGGAGCCAGGCATTGTTTTACACACTAGCCATACAGAAGGAGAGTAGACATAAGCTACTTTTCTAAAGAATCTTATAATCTAGTGGGAGGAGCTAGAGAAGAAATAAAATGTGTAAGTAAAGTATGAAATATATTAAAGGGTGATGAGTTTATGCTGAAAGATCAAGTAGGGGAAGAGAGTGGAGGAGAGGAGAGTGTTTTTTTATTTGACTGATGGCTGTGTCTCCCAGGAGAATAGACATACCCTACCCGAAGACATCTAGTGGATGTGATGGAATTCCAGTTGGGCTATCTCACATCCTGAAAGATGATGCTGTGAAAGTGCTGCACTCAATATTCCCACAAACTGGAAAACTCAGCAGTGGCCACAGGACTGGAAAAGTCAGTTTTCATTCCAATCCCTAAGAAAGGCAATCCCAAAGAATGCTCAAACTACCGCACAATTGCACTCATCTCACACGCTAGTAAAGTAATGCTCAAAATTCTCCAAGCCAGGCTTCAGCAATACGTGAACCGTGAACTTCCAGATGTTCAAGCTGGTTTTAGAAAAGGCAGAGGAACCAGAGATCAAATTGCCAACATCCGCTGGATCATCGAAAAAGCAAGAGAGTTCCAGAAAAACATCTATTTCTGCTTTATTGACTATGCCAAAGCCTTTGACTGTGTGGATCACAATAAACTGTGGAAAATTCTGAAAGAGATGGGAATACCAGACCACCTGACCTGCCTCTTGAGAAACCTGTATGCAGGTCAGGAAGCAACAGTTAGAACTGGACATGGAACAACAGACTGGTTCCAAATAGGAAAAGGAGTACGTCAAGGCTGTATATTGTCACCCTGCTTATTTAACTTATATGCAGAGTACATCATGAGAAACGCTGGGCTGGAAGAAGCACAAGCTGGAATCAAGATTGCCGGGAGAAATATCAATAACCTCAGATATGCAGATGACACCACCCTTATGGCAGAAAGTGAAGAGGAACTAAAAAGCCTCTTGATGAAAGTGAAAGAGGAGAGTGAAAAAGTTGGCTTAAAGCTCAACATTCAGAAAACTAAGATCATGGCATCTGGTCCCATCACTTCATGGGAAATAGATGGGGAAACAGTGGAAACAGTGTCTGACTTTATTTTTGGGGGCTCCAAAATCACTGCAGATGGTGATTGCAGCCATGAAATTAAAAGACGCTTACTCCTTGGAAGGAAAGTTATGACCAACCTAGATAGCATATTAAAAAGCAGAGACATTACTTTGCCAACAAAGGTCCATCTGGTCAAGGCTATGGTTTTTCCAGTGGTCATGTATGGATGTGAGAGTTGGACTGTGAAGAAAGCTGAGTGCCGAAAAATTGATGCTTTTGAACTGTGGTGTTGGAGAAGACTCTTGAGAGTCCCTTGGACTGCAAGGAGATCCAACCAGTCCATCCTAAAGGAGATCAGTCCTGGGTGTTCCAATACTTTGGCCACCTCATGTGAAGAGTTGACTCATTGGAAAAGACCCTGATGCTGGGAGGGATTGGAGGCAGGAGGAGAAGGGGATGACAGAGGATGAGATGGCTGGATGGCATCACGGACTCGATGGGCATGAGTTTGAGTAAACTCCAGGTGTTGGTGATGGACAGGGAGGCCTGGCGTGCTGCGATTCATGGGGTCGTAGAGAGTCAGACACGACTGAGCGACTGAACTGAACTGACTGAACTGACCTGAAGACAAAGACTCTGCCCTGGGTTGCTTGTCACCATATCCCAGCGTGTATCATTAGATGTGGCACTTACCAAGTGTTGAATAAATGGATGGATAAACCTGGTGTTAAATAATTCCTCCCCCTATCCTGATCTACTCTTTCTTTTTCACACTACTTTATATAGAGTGTGATTTATTTATTATGTTTATTGTTTATTATCTGCATTGCTGGGCTAGACAGTCACCTGCACAAGCAATAAGAATTTTTATTTGTTTTGTTCACTGATGAATCTCAAGCACCAAGAATATTCCCTAACAAGCAGGCAGTAGGATTTAATAAATACTTGTTGCATGAATGAATTTTAATAAGTGATTTCACTCAAAGGAAACAATGAAGTTATTAACTTCTGACACAAGAATTTTGTTTGCTACTTTTAGCAAGCCAGTTTATTCCTGCCAATACCACACAATCTGATGGCTACTGACAAATTCACAATGTCCGTATCTGAATAAAATGCTTAAGAAACTAAACCTGATGCCAAATTCATTTACCTTGGAATATCAAATGCTACAATGTACCATCTACTCATTCAACTGTCAAAGGGACAGCTTCTCTTCTATTCTTAAGATTTTTAAAAGGGAAAAGTGAGAGAAAAGTATGTAAATGAAACAGGACTTAGCCCTGGTGTGGATTCTTTCAATGATTGAAATTTACCAGAGTTTTTTTCTTTTGAATAAAATGATTTAGAGCCTTTCCTATATAAGACCCATAAGCCGCACCCACCATTTATTTTCTGACAAAGCTAGGGGGATACTTATATTTCAATCCAGGAGTTTCCTTTGTTATCCTAATAAAAGGATCAGAGGTTTTAAAGAGGTGCCATTTACACTTGGAAAAGCCACAGGCAACACTAGAAATACAATCTGAGAATCAGAGTTCAGGAAAATGACACCTGAAAATAAATGCCCCATATGAACATAGTTTTAATGCTTACAGTGTAGAACTCAAACGCACAGTATTTTTCTCCCTGGATATCCTGAAACACCCAGTGATTTGCTGAAGCATTTTGGAAACATTTCTGTTCATTATTTATACATGACTGCTATATTAAATTTTAGCTTCTTAAGGGCAAGACATAGACTTCTACATCACAGCCTGCCCAGAGTCACATGTGGGGGGGTGGGTGCTCTCTTAAAAATAGTGAACTTGTGGAATCCAGAAAAATGGTAGAGATGATAAAGAACAAATATGTGGATACCAAGGGGGAAAGGGCAGAGTGGGAGGAATTGCGGGACTGGGATTGACATGCACACACTATTGATCCTATGTTAAAACAGATAACTAATGAGAACATCCTGTACAGCACAGGGAATTCTATTTAATGCACTGTGGCGACCTGAACCAAAACGAAGTCCAAAAGGGAGGGGGATATACGTCTATGCATAGATGATTCACTGCTGTATGGTAGAAACTACAACATTTCAAAGCAACTACACTCCAGTAAAAATTAGTTTCAAAAAGAGTGAACATACTTGAAATCATTTCCAGGTAGAAAACTGTGGGTTAATTTATTTTCATTGAGAAAGTTATGGTCATTTATAGAGAATTTAAAATCCCACCATATTACATAATACCCACTGGGCTCAAATGTGAGCAATTTTTATGATCCTAATTTGCCTCTTTTGCGCCTTTATATCTTGCTCGGGACTTCTAGAAGATTCTATGCTTACACTGAAAATTTCCAAAGTCTGTTTCATACTTTGCCTAGTCCTATGTAAGTTGCTATAGCCAAGGGTTTTATGGTGAAGTAAGTTAGAAAACATTATATAAAAATTGCCTTCTGTTAGAGGTTTACAAGCAAGCTAGGATTTTAAAAACTGTAAGAAAGTCTGCATAAATTGACCCCTTTAACCTTAACTTTACATTTCCCAAACTTGTTTTTTCTCAGAACTCTTTTTTAATGTAATAATAACTCTATCTTTGATGTTATAAGATGCCATCTATATAAGACAACTTGTTAATTTATGTACCACTAAGAAAGGAAAACACTTGACAGTCTGCCTTTGATTTTTAACACTCATTTAAATATACAGTTGACAAAGCACAAACTCAAGAAATAGTAGTTTATTCTACATAATGAAATGGAAATATGTATTCTAGTAATGAAAAATTAAAAATTTTAAAAGTTGTATTATTGTCCATTTTAGTAATTTTGGTAAGTCTATCAATTATTTTCTAGATTTCCATACACTGTCAGAAGCTGTCCTTTGAATTCTGATAGAAACACATTTAATAGTATACTACCATACCACTTTGAGAGTCCCTTGAGAGTCTCTTGGACAGCAAGAAGATCCAACCAGTCCATCCTAAAAGAAATCAATCCTGAATATTCATTGGAAGGACTGATGCTGAAGCTGAAACTCCGATACTTTGGTCACCTGATGCAAAGAACTGACTCATTTGAAATTACCTTGATGCTGGGAAAGAATGAGGACAGGAGAAGAAGGGGATGACAGAGGAGGAGACGGTTGGATGGCATCACTGACTTAATGGACATGAGTTTGAGTCCGGGAGTTGGTGATGGACAGGGAGGCCTGGACTGCAGCAGTCCATGGGGTCACAGAGTCAGACACGACTGAGTGAACTGAACCGACCACACCACCTCATGAGCTTTCCAGGCAGCTCCATGTAAAGAATCTGCCTGACAATGCAGGAGCCACAAGAGGCACAGGTTTGATCCCTGGGCACAGGAAGAGCCCATGGAGAAGGAATGGCAAGAAACTCTAATATTCTTGCCTGGGAAATCCCATGGACAGAGGAGCCTGGTGGGCTACAGTCCATGGGGTCACAAAGAGTCAGACATGATTTAGCAACATTAAAACAACAACATCACCTCATACATTTCTTTTTATTAAATTGATTTTTATTGGAATACAATTGATTACAAAGTTATGCTGGTTTCTGCTGTATAGCAAAGTGAATCAATTATACATAAACATATATCTGTTCTTTTTTAGATCTTTTCCCCCATATAGGTCATTACAAAGTACTGAGTAGAGTTCCCTCTGCTATACAGTAGGTCCTCACTGCTTATCTATTTTATACATAGTAGTGTATATATGTCAATCCCAATCTTCCAATTTACCCCTCCACTCACTCTTTCCCCCTTGGTAACCCTGTTTTTTGCCTACATTTGTGACTCTATTTCTGTTTTGTAATAAGTTCATTTGTACCATGCTTTAAGATTCCATATGTAAGCAATATGATATGATATTTGTCTTTCTCTGTCTAATGCACTTCACTCAGTATGACAATCTCTAGGTTTGTCCACGTTGTTGCAAATGGCATTATTTCATTTTTTATGGCTGAGTAATATTCCACCGTTTCCTCAGGAGAAAAAAACAAAAAATGTGCATACATTTCTTTAATCACAGTTGTAATATCACACATCATAGTTCTAACTCTAGATTTTTCAACTGTAAACACTTTGAGACTTACAGGTAGTATTAGGAAAAAGCACCTTAAAGAGAACTCCAGGGCTGACGGGGACCACACCAACTTGTCCTCACCGATCACTCATGATAAACTTCACTACAGACTGTGCTCCTGTAATCTGCCTCATGATGTCTGCACGTGTGAATTTCAAACCAGATGTTTAACGACTCTAGGTAGGATCCATATTCTCACTTCTTGGTATCTTCCTGCCATGTTCACTTGGTGTAAGAGTAAGGTCATTATAAATCTTATTTGTTAACAAGAGAACACTCTTCTCCATGCAGCAGCCAGGTGTAAACATTGCATATTTGCAAAATCCATTTTATGTTACTATGTTTGTTAGCAAATCGTACTTTCATTTGCCTATTTGTAAAGACTTTTGTTTGTTAAAATGACTAATGTAATTCTATAGAGACATTAAATCAGAAAAGCCACACAATTTGCTGGTGCTAAAAAATATGTCATTTTAATAATTAAGATACATAAATAAAGTGTTTATGATAGAAACAATAAAGTTGTCTCTCAATTCTATACAAACACTGAATTTCCAAGCAATTTGTAAGGAATATATTCATCTTCTTACATTCACAATAATGGTTGAGCAATGATGTTTATCACTTTTTAATTTTTATATTCTACAAATTCACACTATTAATTTATAGTATTACAGTGCTCGATAATCTTGACAATATGAAATAAAATTCTTCTAATGGTATGTAGAAAATAAAATAAAATAATTAAAATTCATTTGTATAATTTTATGAAAACAAAATAATTAATATTTTTTCTGTAAAAATAAATTATGTACTTTGTGTTGAAACATCATTCTATTAAAGTGTTTAGAAAATAGTTACATTCACGTTTTGGCAGTGTGCTGAAACATTCTTATTTGCCATTCTCTCATGCATGATAAAGTGAGGTGCAAGCTGTTCACATGTGAGAAAAACAGCTTATTTTTCACAGGAAAGGAAACGATGTATGAAATAGAATTCACTTAAAAAACGCAAGTGTCTTGTGATAGAAATACAAAAATTCACTAAGAAAAAAGCATTTTTCAAGGCCTTTGAGGTGATGCAACTTTTGACTAGGCTTCATCAAAGGTGGTTTTTAATCATGCTACCCTGTAAGTTCCATTAAATTGGCATGTCCATCAATTGCTGGTTAAAGCTCAATGCTATAATTTAAAACATAGTGTTTGGTCAACTGACTGAAGTACGACAGCTGAACTCTTCACTGACCACCTTTCATAAAGGAGCAAGAGAAACAAACATCTCCATTCTGCTTGAAGTGTGGCTCCCCACAGCAGCACCTTTGGCACGGAGCACGATTTCCATGGGGTAGCACGATATGAAAACTGTCTGATGCTGATGGCAGGGATCCGATTGAGCCAAATTTGCTGGTTCACCTAGAAACTGGTGAAAAGCTCGGCACTGATTTAAGTTTAACCAGAGAGGAAAAACCCAACAAAGATCCAAAAAAATCCAACGGATCCAACAAAGATCCATCTAGTCAAAGCTATGATTTTTCCAGTAGTCATGTATGTATGAATGTGAAAGTTGGCCTATAAAGAAAGCTGAGTGCTGAAGAATGGATGCTTTTGAACTGTGGTGTTGGAGAAGACTCTTGAGAGTCCCTTGGACTGCAAGGAGATCCAACCAGTCCATCCTAAAGGAGATCAGTCCTGGGTGTTCATTGGAAGGACTGATGCTGAAGCTGAAACTCCAATATTTTGGCCACCTGATGCAAAGAACTGACCCATTGGAGAAGACCCTGATGCTGGGCAAGATTGAAGGCAGAAGGAGAAGGGGACGACAGAGGATGAGATGGTTGGATGGCATCACTGACTAGATGAACATGAGTCTGAGTAGGCACCAGGAGTTGGTGATGGACAGAGAGGCCTGGCTGCTGCGATTCATGGGGTCGCAAAGAGTCGGACACGACTGAGCGACTGAACTGAACTGAAGACAGGAAAAAAATTTGTACTTATCCACGAGAAATCCCTGAATGGCAGTTTGGAAAGGAGCGCTCCTTCTGCTGTTTCTTCTTCGTCTTACTTTTCCTCTGCTTTTTCTCGGCCTTCTTTGTGCTCGGCTTCCGTTGCTTGCTTTCCTCTTTATACCACGGCCCCCACACTCCCCCATTGAGCCGAGGGTTGCTTCTGGGGTCTTTGGGGGGGTACCTTACCGGCACCGCGGTTTTGTTGAACTGGGAGAGCCTCCGGAGGAGCTGCTTTACGATCCCGGGATACCGGCTGGAAAGGTCCACTCTCTCGTAGGGGTCAGCTGTGATGTTGAACAGCCACACGCTCTTGCCCGTTGACAAGGTAATGCGCTCGTTGTGCCACCGGTTCGGGCCCAGGTTGCTGAAGGACTGAGGGGGCACCCAGTCACTGTACCCCGGGTTCCCGGTGAGCAGCTTCCAGTGCTGCACCCTGATCGCAGACTGAATGGCCGTGTTCCAGATCCCATAGCCTGCAGCCCAAGAGCCGTTCTTCGCCTTGGTATAAATGGGGTCGATGTTGTGCAAAATATCTACCCGGGGAGAACGAAGGCCTTCGCTTATGGTCTCCCAGACGTCATAGCCATCCAGCTGAATGCTCTCGTCGATCTGCCCCTCAGCCAGTGAAATCAGAGTGGGGTACCAGTCGGTGATGTGCACGAGCTCCTTACACACGCTGCCCTTGTTCTTCAGGAGTGGGCTGTGCACGAAGCCAACAGCCCGGATCCCTCCCTCCCAATAGGTTCCTTTGCTCCCTCTGAGGGGCCAGTTGCTTCCTCCTGCTGTGGGCTGACCACCGTTATCTGAAGAGTATATGATAATGCTGTTGTTGTAGAAACCGTATGTCTTGAGAGCCAGGGTCACGTTATTAATTGCTTCGTCTAAGCAGGAGAGCATGGCAGCATACCTGCGTCGGTTTATGTTGACAATGGACCTGTAGTGTTCAAAATACCTCCCAGGGGCTTGCAGTGGAGAGTGCACAGCTTGGTAGGCAATGTATAAAAATATAGGCTTTCTGGGGTCATGGGAAGCTAAGATTTGCTGCACTCTCTGAGTGTACATCTGTGTGGAGTATATGCCGTTGTCATAGTCCCAGGCAGCATTGTCATTTTCATACAAGTCATAGCCACACATCCCAGGACTGTCACATTTGTAGTGTGTATAGTAATCGCCACTTCCCAAGAGGGAACCAAAAAAGGTATCAAATCCTCTCTTGGTGGGCATACATTCTTTTCTATAAAAACCCAAGTGCCATTTTCCAACCATATGTGTTGAGTATCCAACCTCCTTCAGTTTCTGAGGTAGGGTTGCATTGTCCAGAGGTAAGCAGTTGGGCTGGGTAGGTCTTATGATAGAATGTTGAAGTCCGGTGTGTATCTGATACCTAACAAAAGAGTAAAAAAATGTGTCAGTGCAGGATAAAAGAGAGATTCCACAGAAAAAAACAATTCTTCTATTAAATAATGTTTCTATGATGATAAATGCTACTGCAAATAAAATTGATCAATTCAGTATTTCTCCTGTTGACCCAAAAGTCCTGCCATAATTAGCTATACATTTAATATTTGAAATGAATTTTCACTTTAAATCAGTACTTTTGAAACTAAGATTTCATTACTTATTTCAAAGTCTTTTTAAAGTTCTTATAACAGAATTAATTTAAACAAACTTTAATCATTTGAATAATTATATGATTCACCAAACTAACGTGATAAAGGAAAGAACATAAATTTCAGAGTGTTTGTAACCAAGCAGGATTCTGTGGATCCTACCATACAGTTGCACTCATTTCACATGCTAGTAAGGCAATGCTCAAAATTTTTCAAGCTGGGCTTCAGCAGTACATGAATGGAGAACTTCTAGATATACAAGGTGGATTTAGAAAAGGCAGAGAAACCAGAGATTAAATTGCCAACACCCATTGGCTCATAGAAAAAGCAAGAGAATTTCAGAAAAAAAAATCTGCTTCATTGACTACACTAAAGCCTTTGGTTGTGTGCATCAGAACAAACTGTGGGAAATTTCTAAAGAGATGAGAATACCAGACCATCTTACCTGTCTCTTAAGAAACCTATATGCGGGTCAAGAAGCAACAATTAGACATGGACATAGAACAACAGACTGGTTCAAAATTGGGAAAGTAGTATGACAAGGCTTGTCACCCTGCTTCTCTAACCTATGTGCAGACTGCATCATGTAGAATGCCGGGCTGGATGAATTAAAAGCTGGAATCAAGATTGCAGAGAGAAATATCAACAATCTCAGATATGCAAATATTACTATTCTAATGGCAGAAGGCAAAGAGGCACTAAGAACCTTTTGATGAGGGTGAAAGAAGAAAGCGAAAAGGCTGGCTTAAACACAACATTCAAAAAACAAAACAAAACAAAAAACACCACAGTATTCAATAAACTAAGATCATGGCATCTGGTCCCATAACTTCGTGGTTAATAGATGGGGAAGCAATGGAAACAGTTACAGACTTTATTTTCTTGGGCTCAAAAAATCACTGTGGACAGTGACTGCAGCCATGAAATTAAAAGATGCTTGTTTCTTGAAAGGAAACCTATGACCAATCCAGACAGCATATTAAAAAGCAGAGACATCACTTTCCCAACAAAGGTCCATATAGTCAAAGTTATGGTTTTTCCAGTAGTCACTTATGAATGTGAGAGCTGGATCATCAAGAAGGCTGAGCACCGAAGAATTGGTGCTTTTGAACTGTGGTGCTGGAGAAGACTCTTGACACATGCCTTGGACTGCAAGAAGATTAGACCAGTCAATCCTAAAGGAAATCAACCCTGAATATCACTGGAAGGACTGATGCTGAAGCTGAAGCTCCAATACTTTGACCACCTGATGTGAAGAGCCCATTCACTGGAAAAGGCCCTGATATGATGTCAGACATGAATTAGTGACTCAAAAATAACAACAAGAAGGATCCTATGGGGCCTTCTCAGGGCAGACCATGCTCCCCCTCCCCACCACTCCCTACTTCCATGTCCTCTCCTGCTTCTTATCTGTAGGAAAACTATACCCTTCTGGGCCTTCCCCAAATTCTAAAGAATATATTCAATCAAAGAAGTGAGAAAATGCAGAAACAAAGGAAAACATTCAAGTATGAAAAAATAATAACTTAGCCATTAAACAAAGTCAAAGAACTTTGGTTTCTCCTCAGTGGCCATAAATAATATTCTGAGCTTTATCTTTTAGCTATTTTGTAGACTCTGAAATCCCCACCAGGTGGAAGAAGTTAACTATATGCTGACCACAAGCACAAAGAACCCAGACCAGTTGGAACCAGAAAGTTGAAGATGTTGATTCCTGATGACATCACCATCAACCAATCAGAAGAATGTTCATCTTGGCGTCTGGGTCTTTTGAGCATTAGCTGCCTGGACTCCTTGCGTGGGGCCCTGCAATAAACACTTTTTCCTTCACTACAACTCAGTATCAGTAGATCGGCTTTACTGCAGGCAGGTGAGGGGACTCAAGTTTGGTTTGGTAATATGCTGTTGTTGTAACTGTTGTTTTTGGTCTAAAGACCTCACATTAGCTCCTAAATCATTTTTTTGAATAATTTATTTCAAGCTGATCTGAAAGTACTAAAAATACATATAAAATTATGTAAAAATCTCCTGTTTGTCAAAACCTGTTAAATCTCTGTAGTGAGAAACAGAACATCTCTGAATCACAGTATATTGTTGTTGAAAAGCCACGTTAGAAAGTGTTTTAGCTAGTGCTAAGGAAAGATTACATTCTTCCAGAAACAGTAGGAAATGAATCCTTTCATATGCTTCCCACTGTCTCTTTTTAAGAAAATTACATTCACTTACAATTTAGTTTAAGAAATCGATGTAACCTTTCTATACATTAAAATTAAATGTATGTTGATTTCCGGCACTGTTCTCTTCCCAAGGATATTTGCCAAGGGCTTTTATCCCCCCAGAGAATGGTTATTATCATATAAGTATATGAATTTTCAACTGGGTCAAAATGTGCCCACTAGTTCATGCCATCTTAAAAGTGATTAATTCTATAGTTTATTATATAAGTTCAAAACAATTTTTAAATAGGAAATATAGACATTCTGAGAAAATGAAGTTTGCAAAAAGGGTTAGTGTAAAAATAAAAATATTCCTGGAATCAAATTACAAAGAGTTATATTGAGATAAAAAATAATTTTAAAAAATCAATTGAACCTTAAAGTCCAACATGCTATATATGCCTTGGATTGGCTAGTTTATTTTTAAATGTTCAAATGATAGTATAATGCAACTGTGAGTTCTTTCAAAGTGTCAACTGCAGTAACAGGCTGAAGGTTTATAGAAGCTGTAGTAATGTCCAGACAGCATTCATATGGGCCCCGTCTACTCTGCTTATCATTTAGCTGTTGAAGTTCACAATGAATACAGTAATGAACTCCAAAGAAACAAGGTTTTAATAAATATAATTTAGTCCTAAATTCATAAAGTATTATTGCTCTTGATAGTTTCTGATCCAGTTCAAGATCTAAAACATTAACTTCTAAAACCACTAATTTTTGTATAAGCACATGACAAGTTGATAACACCTATCAATATAAACATTGAAGATATTTAAAAAGGAGAAATCTGTATGTTGTGAGACTGTGGGGAAGGATTTGTGGACATGGGGAAGGATTTCTACATAATTGTCTCATGTAGAAGATGTACTTGGCCAGAGTATCTATTCAATTCATTGACCAGCTAACCAATTGAAGTCTTTCTAATTAAAACTGGGCACTTTTTTGCACCCAGTACTAAAGGCAAAGAGAACTGAGGCTTTTGGAAAGTGTAAAATACAGAAAATGTTCACACACAAAAAAAGAGTAGGAAAGAGGTCTGCTGCTTTCAGAAGATGGTACAGTGTTGGCAGACACAGAAGAGAGTACACAGCTATTAATCAACTGTGTGGTTTCTGTCTTCTCCAGCATAGAATGGTTTTCATATCGGAAAATTCAGAATCAACAATATAAAGGTTTGGCAGCAGCTCCTAACAGAAGAGAGCTTTTAGGGAAGCTCCATCTTAAATGAGTTCAAGACTCTGGGACCAAATAGATGTTTGATGCACCATTAGAGGCAGGGGTTAAGGGTATGTTTTGTTTTGGGAGTCAGAGAAATCAGGGTTTGAATTTGTTCAACTGCTTATTAGCCGTGTGACTTTAAGCAGTACTTAACCCCCTTGATCCTCCATTTCTTCATCTGTAAAAGAGGGATAATAATACATATTGGATTGCTGTAGCCCTGAAAGAGAGCACAGAATCTGATAAGGTGAGTGCATTCAATAAATGATAGCTTTTGCTATTATTATTTAAGAGTTCTGAATCACGTTACTAACATATGTCTTTCAAGTTTTATAACTGACAGATCTTCCACATGCTTTATTGTGTTTAGTTCTTGTTACAACAGTGAGAAGTAGGATTGTTTACATTCATTTTATAGATGGGAGAATAGCAATACAGAGATATCCCCCCTCTTCCTCCAATCTGCTTCACCAGGCTGTGATACAGTTTCCTGAACAACACAGGCTAAACTGGATACTTTTCCTGTCTCCTCAAGAGTTAAGTTCAGCACTTCTTAAAAAATCAAGGAGCAGAGGAAAGATACTATCAGTCTTGAGAAGTTAATCTAACTTTCTAATTAAAGATAGGAAAAAATTATAAACCAAATAGTGAGGCTTATGCTGATCCTAGAAAATTTGAGAATGTATTTTTAAGTAGATAATTTTTGAGCATTTTTCTTTTAAAGCAAATTCTGCTGCTGTTGCTGCTAAGTCACTTCAGTCGTGTCCGACTCTGTGCGACCCCATAGACCGTAGCCCACCAGGCTCCCCCATCCCTGGGATTCTCCAGGCAAAAACACTGGAGTGGGTTGCCATTTCCTTCTCCAGTGCATGAAAGTGAAAAGTGAAAGTGAAGTTGCTCAGTCGTGTCCGACTCTTAGCGACCCCATGGACTGCAGCCCACCAGGCTCCTCCATCCATGGGATTCTCCAGGCAAGAATACTGGAGTAGGCTGCCATTGCCTTCTCCTTTAAAGCAAATTAGGTAGGGTCAAAAAGAAAAGTCCTGCCAAGTTAGCTTCATTTTCTTTTTAAAAAGGAGGAGAATTAAGAAAATAGCTTAGGGAAATGATTTTGTTGTTGTTTAGTCGCTAAGTTGTGTCTGACTCTTTTGCAAACCCCTGGGCTGTAGCCCGCCAGGCTCCTCTGTCCATGGGATTTCCCAGGCAAGAATACTGGAGTGGGTTGCCCTTTCCTTCTCCAGGGGCCCTTCCCAACTGAGGACCAAACCTGTGTCTCCTGCTTAGCAGGTGAATTCTTTACCTCTGAGCCACCTGGGAAGCCCCAGAAAAACGATAGGCAT